GTAACAGCAGAATGCATTTCGATTCATAGTACATAAGCAGAGCACAATTTTTCATTTCTCTGGTTGTACGTGAAGTAGAGTCACACCATGTGTGTCTTCATACATGTACTTAGGGTAATGATATTCATCTCATTCCACCATCTTTCCTACCCCCATGCCCCCTCCCTTCCCCTCCCTCCCTTTTGCCCTATTTAAAGTTCCTCCATTCCTCCCATGCCACCCGCCTTATGGATCAGCATCCACTTATCAGAGGAAATATCCAGCCTTTGGTTTTTGGGATTGGCTAACTTCACTTAGCACAATATTCTCCAACTCCATCCATTTACCTACAAATGCCATGATTTTATTCTCTTTTAATACTGAGTAATAGTCCATTGTGTGTATATACCACAGTTTCTTTATCCAGTCATCTATTGAAGGGCATCTAGGTTGGTTCCAGTTTAGCTATTGTGAATTGTGCTGCTATAAACATTGATGTGGCTGTGTCCCTGTGGTTTGCTGTTTTTAAGTCCTTTGGGTATGGACCAAGGAGTGGGATAGCTGGGTCAAATGGTGGTTCCATTCCAAGTTTTCTAAGGCATCTCCATACTGCTTTCCAGAGTGGTTGCATCAATTCGCAGACCCACTCACAATGTAACCCCTGGCAGTAAAAAAACCCAAATTACATGCCATTAATATAGTCACGAAATGAATCATTGCCCAGGGTTACTCAGCAGCGTAGGGGCATCCCCAGGAGGCCCGAATCAGCTGTCAAACAACAACAGCAGCTTTCATTCCCCACCAACTAGGCTGTGTTTTGGTTAAAAGTTTACTGTACACCACATTTAATTTTCTAGGAAAGAGAAATGATCTGAAGCAGGTGAGGGACCAGGGAGAGGGTCCCCTAGGGGTGAGAGTATATTCTGCTGGATGACTTTTAAAAATCTTTCCTCCAGCTCATCTGCCTCATTAACAGTGGTTTTTGTCTTAGAAGTCATCTTCTGATTTTATTAAAGGTCATGCTAAGCCAGGCGTGGTGGCGCACGCCTGTAATCCCAGCGGCTCTGGAGGCTAAGGCAGGAGGATCACAAGTTCAAAGCCAGCCTCAGCAATGGTGAGGCACTAAGCAACTCAGGGCGACCCTGTCTTTAAATAAAATACAAAGTAGGGCTGGGGATGGGGCTCAGTGGTCCCGTGCACTTGAGTTAAATCCCTGGTACCCCCCCCACACACACCCCCGCAAAAAAAGGACATGCTATCTTGTTCTGTTATCGTGCATGCTTATCTGGTCCTTCAAAAACCCATCGCACATTTTCCACCCATAGGCTTTTTTTTTTTTCTTTTCATTATTATCATGACACTTTGGTGGATATCATGACCATTTTGTCTATTTCACTATTGTCCAGTGAATGAACAACTAGAGTCTCACTGTCAGTGTTAAAAAAACTTCAGCTTGGGGCTGGGGATGTGGCTCAAGCGGTAGCGCGCTCGCCTGGCATGCGTGCGGCCCGGGTTCGATCCTCAGCAGCACCACATACCAACAAAGATGTTGTGTCCGCCGAGAACTAAGAAAAAAT